GAGATTAATGAATTAATTTGATACACACGGAATTGGACTGCATCTTTTATTACAAGAGGAATTTTGGAACGGACTTCTCCTTTTTTATTGACTGCACGAGAAAGTATGCGGAGGAGAAGAAGACCGCATTAATACAAGAAATAAGTGAGACTTCTTAATTTATACATTGGGACTATTCAGAATGATTTACAGAAAGATATGTGCTGCAATGCAACATAGACAAGTAATACCTGCCGCTCGTTTGTGCGAGCGAAATGAGAGAGAGGATTGGACCGCACACGCTCTACCTGTGGTTGGTAGTAGCGTGCTGCGACAGAGGCACAAACTTTTAACCGCCAAACAAGATAGTATTTAAACATAATCTAGGGAACAGGCAACATTGTATCAATTTATCCAGTTGAAAAAGCCACAGTGTAGTGGCGAAACGCGTTCTGGTTTTAGGCACATTGATGCCCTTTGTTTTAGAAATTATAATAATAAATTTAGTTTTTATTTTCTGATCCTGATCCCTGGATTTATCTATTTTTTCGGCATTTTATGGATGGGAGTGCAGTCCCATACTGCACAATACGCGAAGATTTAGTCACATTACTTGACTCCGGGCTTGTAAGTACCCACTTGGGAATCTTTATTATTTAATAAAATAACCCTAAAATAGTACTGCGCAATCGTTTCTGCTTTGATCCTCTCCTTAGGACAAGATCTGCAACATTCAAAAAAAAGGGGAGGATCGCCTAAACGGATCCAAAAGCGATGCAAACTAGAGTTGGTTCTGTAGCTCCCTGTTTGTGAGTATATCCATATATTTTTACGCTAAATATTATCTTGTGACATACTATCTACACTATATTTGGTTATTCTCTTTCTAAGCATTTATCTGCTGATTGTCCAAACATTCCTCTGAAATTGCTAAAAAGCGACAATTTATTCTCATAAGCGCTACATTCTTCTTTTATTCTTGTAGGGTCTAGCAAGCTATTAACATAGCAGGGGATAAGAAAATCTTAATTAAACAGAACTTGCAATAAAGAGAGCCTAAATAGGGCTCTCTTTACAGGAAGTGTTTATGGAAGTCTGTGCAAGTCACATGCAGGGAGGTGTGACTAGGGTTCATAAACAAAGGGATTTAACTCCTAAATGGCAGAGGATTGAGCAGTGAGGCTGCAGGGGCATGTTCTATACACCAAAACTGCTTCATTAAGTTGTTCAGGTGACTATAGTGTCCCTTTAACTGTTGGATATGGTTCATGATTAGGTCTGAAGCATGTTGCAAGTGCAAAAAAAAGTATTACAAAAAACAATATTTTGTGTTTGTATCATTCGACTAATCCATCTATCCCAAACTACTAGCTGGAAGCTAAATGCAAATCTCTGAACATGCTGTTTTTTTAGTTTAACTAGCAAAAGGGATGCTGGTGATATAAACAGTTAGACAGGCTAACTGCTATCTGAAATGTTACAGTATAAAATACTCATACTGCCATACTGATGGAATAAAAGAGATTTGGATCCCACATCCTTTTTTATGACTCAGACTTTGTCTTCTGAAGGCTGAACTTTGCCTGTGTGTGAAGAAAAATCTCTAGTATACACGGTTCAGCTCATGTTTACTTAGAGTGAATAAAAAAAACACATAGTGAACCAAAGATGGCTTTTACTTTAGTGTAAATATAGTATAATAAGGGCCCTATTTCACTCGTCATGAGGCATTAATGTTCCTAGAATATTTTTGTAAAAAAATTTTTAATGTACAATACTCCACAAACATCCTTATTCTGCTGCAATCAATTTAATTAAACTTTTTTTTATATATGAGAAACAGTCCTCAGAATTTTATGTGCAAGGCTGGAGGTCTCTGCTATTTGTAAGCAAAGAATGTATATTTATGAAGCACTGCAGAAAAGGTAGCCTTGTGGTTTAATCACTGAATTCTGAAGCACACACTGGATCTTGGCATCACCATGTGACTATGTTCAAATCAATGGGCAAAAGAAAACAAGCTTTAGCTGTAGTTCAGCGAGAGCTAAGAAATCCCTGTACCTTTGCAGTCCTATAGATACTGTGAAAAGCTCTATGGCTTACATTTAGCATGAGGAACGTTCAATTTCAAAAGCATTTAATGTCTCCACCTAACCGATACTTTTAGTCACTAACTGATATGTTAATCTTCTTATTTATATTCCTTACGTAAAAACATTAAAATATTAACCAGTAAACAACCATACGAGTAGGGTGACACATTTGTTGGAGAGCTAACCCCGATTTCTGAACATAGCTTTGACATAAAAAACAGATTTAAGGCTAATATTAAAGTGTTTATTATTTGTTCAAAAGACGCAGCCCACAAGATATGGCAAAGGAAAGCAAGGGCCACAGTCATGGCTTCACAACACACAAAGTCACTGTTTTCCTAGCAGGCACTGCAGAATAGCAATTGTATATTCACAGCACATAACACATCCCCTGCATTTTAGCCCTTCTAATGTATGTGTGTTTCTTAACTTCTTTGGTTCTTGCGTCCATCTACAATGTGTCATAAAGCAAATGGTCACCAAAATCTATTACATTGAAGAAGCAAATTTTCTCAGACTTTATAATTTAGATAGAGTAAGCAAATGAAATTGAATTTACAAACGGTATTTGTGCATAATGGTATAACAACAGTGTTGTTGCTTTCAAGAGTAATGATAAAACAGACAATTCAATCTGTTCAGCATATACAAGTTTTATATGAAGAAAATATATCACTTTTATGTTTAATTGAACAACATTATTGGGGTTTATCCACTACATATAGTGAATTAAATTACAAAACCCAAATTGCAAAATTTAGGCTAAATTAGGTCTCCTGTGGCTGTAGCTGGGTTGGAGAAATTTTCCAAATAAATTTTTCCAATAAATTTAGCATGTGATAACTCCTTAATGTACCTACATGTTACTGTTTGTCTGTTTTATGCTGCATACTACTATTACAAAAGTCTCAAAGGGGTCTGTTCACTAAACAGTGTATCATGTGTTGAGAATAGCTAAATTGATAAATGTCTAATCCGTCCTTGTTTGCAGACATTCTTTTTGCAACTCTTCCTTGTTAACCAAAATGTTGTAAAACCTGCCACACCTCCCGGTTTAGTGCATAGATGTTATTTTAGTGAATACATGTTACTTTTGTTTTTATCACTGTTGATTCTAATTAATATGCTACCGGTAGAAACTTTGGTTATTGGCAGTGTAGATAATTACGTGGAATTCATAAACAGAATTTGCAGGATAATCCATGTACATCTATTTAATTATACAATTATAATTTGAACACAATTACTGTATCCTACTTCTAACCAGCAGGCTTCTTTTAAAGCTCTATATAGATTATTTACCGTGAGGTATGCCTCTTTACAGGCCATGCTTCTATGACTGCTAAGAGATTTTTTTTATGCATTTTTGCATCTTAAAAGCTTGAAAGAGAACTTGCAAAAGCTGATGACATGATTCATACACTAGTATCAGCAGTGTGGGCATAGTCAAAACATTATATCCAGCTGCTGTTTTATCACGCAAATAGATTTATAAGAAAAAAATGATTGTTCCAGCAGCTGCGTATTTTAGCCTCGTGACATGAATAGCTTTCTTCTGTGTACCTCTTTTTACTAAAACTGTCCTTACCTGTTGTACTGCTCACTAATGCTATGCAGTATTTTGTACAGTCAGACTGCAGCAATTTCTCAACAAGTTCTGCAATTCATGAAGATGAGGGCTGTGTGTATTCCAACCTGGGCCACAAAGACTTCATTATTATTAATTTTTAATTTTTTTCACTACTTAATTAGACTAGCACTATTTTTTTTTTTTTTTTAACCAAGTTGGCCAGTGGTTTCACAGCAATGTTTGGAAGGAAGGAAAGGGGGTCAAAAATATCATGCTTTATTTCAGGCTGGGTAGGAGAAAAACCTAAAATTGAAAGCCAAGGGAAGTATCCTAAAAATGTAGCAATATAGTGGTGAATGAAATATGAAGGTGTGGACCTGAAACTTTTTTTTTTTTTTTTTAACATTTTGATTCCAGGTTTAAATATACACTTATTTCAATGTGTTTATTTTACAAATAAATGTTAACACAAACGAATGAGCTTGAGTTGTCCCTTGTAAAACACTATTTTAGACTGCAGCCAAATTCACACAAGCACCAACTGTTAACCAGTGTCAACATATGCATCAAATATCTACTGTCATAGTAAGACGTGACCTTTCTAATCACTATAAAAATACTATTGCTATTACTAAGGCATAAAAAAGTTTCTTCGGTCGCCTTACAAATAATGAAACTGTGATTTGTGGATATGGTGTTGAGACTTGAAGCATTTCTACCACATATAACTGCATCCCATAGTTTAACGGTAACAGCAGCAGGTAGCAATAAAACTTATATATATATATATATATATATATATACATATATATATATATATATAAAAAAAGATTTAAACATTTTAGACTGTCATGGTAGGTTATATGTAGATTAATGGTACCAATATATTGGGGTTTGATATACTGGGGAAGCCAGATCACATAATTTCTCGCCAATCAGTGGCTGGCTGAGTATACTGGGAGTTTGCTGTGCCCAGAATGTCCAATACTGCCAATCTATAGCATTATATAATTCTATCATGAATTGAGGGGAGAATTTATAAACTGCAGTTATAAAGCTCTCTAGAAAACATTCTCAACATGCACAGTGGCCAACATACATACATCAGCAGTGTAAGAAATAAAAATAAACAACTGCCTGTTACTATAGAAACGCAATTATTTGTCCCCTCTTCATTAGTCCAGCTATCAAACAGTGAATACAAAAATTAGAGGTAAGAGGAGCACTGGTTTTATTTTGATGTTTTCCTTAATTATCTTTCAGTCTGCATTATGACTTCTCTTTTGGATCACCCCTCGGTCATGCAGCTACTAGGACATGCAGATAGGCTCTTTGGAAATAAATGAGCGGTTACCTACCTCAACCATTAAACAAGACATTTAACCATAATGGCAGCTCAGTGACTCCCGAATGCCTTGGAACCCCTGGTCGATGCTGCTTGTACATGTAGACACCCGTGCTGCAGAGTCCAGCAACAGCATCCAGAAATTACTTGTGTGAATTATTCAATAGTGAAGGCAAGGGGGGGCGTTGTTAAATTAGGGGACGCAAAAAAAATAAATTAAAAATGGGGGGAGAGATAACTGTATAGTAGCACATGGAGAATGGCGAAAGAACTCAAACATTGGCTGTTTTCAATTTACAAATCACTTTGTGGAACGTTGTGCTGCTCCCTAGTTTACTTGGAGTCTGCTGCAGTGTGACCGAGTATGACCGTGTTCAAAACAGCAGCACAGCTCACACAATGTTGTGCCGCTGGGAGGTGCTGAAGTCAGTTGCCACTGGCAGACACAGGCAAACCAATGGGCTCCAGCACTGTCAGTTCAGGAAATAGTGCAGCCCTCTCTGTCTATGTTTCCTCATTGTCAATGTGACGTCAAAGGACTTGGACTTTTTTCTTTTTTTTTTCTTCTCCCTTGCTGCACTGCATGCACAATTTATTTCACTGCTTTCAAATCTGTCAAAAGTGCACACATCTATGTACAGGATTTAGTAGTGGAGCTACTCACCACCAAAGTTGATTACAGGCCCTTATAAATAACAAGAGTTTTAATTATACCAATAATAGTTATCATCACAATAATCATATCAATGAAAAGTATCGGAAGTATTCCAGATTCTCTTTGCTCCCCCATTGTAGGAAAATGCTGCAAGCTGTAATTACAATAAAATAAATATATTTGAAATGAGACGCATGATCTTTTTGGGCATGCCTTTGCACACACTACTGCTATCATATGCATTCAAGCTTGGAATAGGAATCACAAAAATATGGGGGTGGTATTTTATTTTCTAAGAAATTCCAGCATTCCCCTTTGAGTTCATATATCAAAGGGATTATTTGAAGCTATTTCAGCTTGCTGAAGTGGTTATTGTGTCACCTGTAAAGCCCAAAATGGGCAGTGCCATCTGGGAAGGTGGGGCAACACAAAGATGGGAGGTTAATATCTGGTGTCAATGCATATGTTCTAGCACTATAGGCATAGGCCTAAATGGACCCTCCCACCCCAATAACGTAACATTTAAGCTGTTACGGGACTAAGAGTGTCCGGGCGACATCTAACATTCAGGGGTTAAACTATAGTGCAACATTTTAACTGAAGTTGGGGCTCCAGCTCCACACGCCACTGCATCTGGCATGCTACCACTCTAACTCTGCACTATAGGAAAGGTTTACTCGGGTGGCTGATGATAGGCTAAGAACATCGTTGGCCTCCTGTAGAGAGAAATAGTATGTAATATTAATTATTTAAATTCAAAATAGGCAGTTAATTCCATAGGCTCAGTGTTTTTAGGAGCCTGACAGTAATCAGATTATTTTTATTTTAATCTTGTCTAATCAGTAAATTATACAGTCCTATTGAATAGACTATAATTGCTGGGATCTGGCACCTCTCAATACCTGTACAAAACTATCTGGGGTGATCCAACCACCCCTTGCTTCCTACACTCATGCAACCACATTTTCCTTTGAAATAATTTTATTCAGAGGCATGGAATACCAGAGAAATATTTGGAATGGGCAGCTTTCCTGTCAAACCTAAGGCATTGGGGTATCTCACATAGATTGATCAGCTACAACATTAAAACCACTGACTGGTGAAGTAAATAATATTAATTATATTGCTACAATGGTACCTGTCATGGGGTGGGATTGGGATATATTGGGCAGCAAGCATGGGCGTCCACAGGGGGGGCACTTGCCCCCCCCCCTGGATTTTTCAGCTTATGCCTATATTTTACTTTTAAGATTCAGAATACACTGAAATACCGACAGCGCCAGTAGGGATAAGAAGCTACATCTCTGCTTCTCTCTCTTGACTGAATCCGCAGGGGAGTAGCACATGCAGCCAGCAACTCCCAGGCTGCAGAGACAGCCTACAGATCAGGTAAGTGAGGGATGGGCAGGGGGCAGACTACAGATCAGGTAAGTGAGGGATGGTGGGGGGGGCAGGCTACAGATCAGGTAAGTAAGGGATGGGGGGCAGCCTACAGATCAGGTAAGTAAGGGATTATGGGGGGCAGACTACAGATCAGGTAAGTGAAGGATGGGGTGGCAGCCTACAGATCAGGCAAGTGAGGCATGTAGAGGGGACAGCTTACAGACCAGGTAAGCATAGGCGTGCGCAGCCTATTGCATTAGGGTGTGCACCCTAAAGCACAAGCACACGCCGCGTATATATATGTATGTATGTATGTGTGTGTGTATATATATATATATATATACACACACACACACACACATACACTGCTGTGTGTGTGTGTGCGGTGTGAGGGTGCTGGTAGTGTGCTATGTGGGTGAGAGTGTTTGTATGTGTGTGCGCTTGTGAGGGTGCTGTTAATGTACTGTGTGTGAGGGTGTTGTTTGTGTGTGAGGGTGCTGGTAGTGTGCTGTGTGTGTGTTTGTTAGGGTCCTGTTAGTGTGCTGTGTGAGGGTGCTGTTTGTGTTTGTGAGGGTACTGTTAGTGTGCTGTGTGTGTGTAAGGGTGCTGTTTGTGTGCTGTGTGTGAGGATGCTGTGTATGTTTGTAAGGGTGCTGTGTGTGTGTGGGTGCTGTATGTGTGTGTGCTGGGTGTGGGTGCTGTGTGTGTGGGTGCTGTGTGTGTGGGAGCTGTGTGTGTGGGTGCTGTGTGCGGGTGCTGTGTGGGTGGGTGCTGTGTGTGGGTGCTGTGTGCGGGTGCTGTGTGGGTGGGTGCTGTGTGTGTGTGGGTGATGTGTGTTCTGTTTGTGTGCTGTATGTGTGAGGATGCTGTGTGTGTGTGATGTTTGTTTGCTGTATGTGTGTGGGTGCTGTGTGTGTGTGGGTGCTGTGTGTGCTGTCTGTGTGCTGTATGTGTGTGGGTGCTATGTGTGTGTGCTGTTTGTGTGCTGTGTGTGTGTGGGTGCTGTATGTGTGCTGTATGTGTGTGTGTGCTGTGTGTGTGCTGTATGTGTGTGTGTGTGTGCTGTATGTTTGGGTGATTTGTAGGGGTGGAGATGGGGGCAGATTAGTTAATAAATATCCCCCCTCCCTTCTTACCTTATGTAGGGAGGGGGTACCGTGCTGCTGCCTTCCCTGGTGGTCCAGTGGAGGTGGGGGCAGATTACTTAATATCCCCCCTCCCTTGTTACCTTATGCCAGGGAGGGGGGATCCTTTCTGCCTTCCCTGGTGGTCCTAGTGGTGAGGGTGAACTATAGCCTGTGGGGCTAGAGTTCACTCTCGCGAGATCTGAGCATTGCCACGGCAACGCTCAGATCTCGCGAGAGGAACCCGGCGGAGCTGCTGGCAAGAGCGCCCCGGGTCCTCTCCTGCCTCCCTCACTGCCTGTGGGTCGATGAGGGGAGGTTTAGAGCAGAGCCGATGCTCAGATAGCGCCGGCTCTGCATGGGTCGACAGGGGAGATCCTGAGATCTCCCCTGCCGGTCTCACTCCATAGGCGTGCCGCGTTGATTAGGGTGTGCCTAGGAGATGGAAAGGGCAACAAGGAGCAGGAAGGGACAGAAGGAGTACAAAGGTAAAGTAGGACAAGGAACAGAAATGCGCAGGAAGGGACATCAATGAGCTGGAAGGGGCTGAAGGAACACAAACATAAAGTAGGGGAAGGAGCAGCAATGAGCAGGAAGGGTCTGCAAGGAGAAGGAAGGGTCTGCAAAGAGCAGAAAGGTACAGAAGGAGCACAACGGTAAAGGAGCAGAAAGAATCAGAAGGAGCACAAAGGTAAAGTAGGAGAAGGAGCAGAAAAGGGACAGCAAGGAGCACAGAGGTAAAGTAGGAGAAGGAGCAGAAAGGGCCTGCAAGGAGCAGAAAAGGATCAGAAAGAGAAAGGAGCAGAATGGCGTAAAATAAGCAGAAAGGTAAGGGAGCAGAAGGCGCCAAGGAGGATAGAAGACAGTGTCAGAAGAAAAAGAAGACTGTGTCAAATGAAGGAGAAGAAAAGGAGATTGGAGCAGGAAGGACAAGTGAAGTGAACCCTCCACTTTATTCTGGACACCATATCATAAGGCTTTGGTACCTGGGCCTGGCAGGGAAGCTTTGGACCTTCTCATCTCCCCAGGTAAAAAAAAACATCGGTGTTAATATGTTCACTTCACGTTAATGTGTCAGGAAGCACAGAGTGCCCCTGGGTAGGGGTGTTGCTGATTGGCTAGAGCAATCAGCTGGCACTCTAAGCCAATCAGTAGCTCCCCATTCATAAAAAAGTAAAACATTTTTATGAACCGGGAACTAGCGATTGGCTTAGAGCATCAAATGACCACTCAAGTCAATCTGCAACACCCATACCTGACATCAATCTGCACTTCTTGACACTTTGTTTCAGAAGCCGAATAACACTGAGCGACTTGGAGATCTGGAGCTGGAGGAAGCCTTTGGGGTTAAACGATTTGAGAGCGGTTTAAACCCTTAAAGGAAAGAGAGCACCCAGGGGCTTCCTGGCATCATAGCATTTTCATTTAGATGAAGTTGTTATGGTGACTAGAATTAAATATGTATTCCTTACACCATAGTTGTGAAAATGCTATTCACCCTGGCTTTATGTGATAATGACACTGTCAAAAAGGGACCAAGCATGGATGTCATTACAATTATGCCCACCCTCTGCGGACACCCATGCCTCCCACCCTATCTTTTTGGCTGTTCAAAATGGTAGAATGTTTTTTATTGAGAGATCTGCAAATCGGCTTTGCAATTTTAAATCAAACCTGGGGCTTTACAGTAGCCCACTCAGAGTTCCTGCCTGTGTTAGTCCCACCAGCAAATACTCTGGCTCAAGATCCTTCCCTGTCTGGTGCAAAAATCTACATTGCCGCTATGAAAGAATAACTGCATCTGCACCTCCTCAGTGATAGATGCCATAGAAGATGCTTCTGCCCTCCAAACATTTGGAGCGTGTATGTGCATTTATATAAATTATACAAACAGTTTGAACCCACAGCTGTCCACAGGAATTTTTTAATCCACAGAGAAAAATGTTAAACATAAACTTTTCTAGCAACCTAGTTGTTCGAAATTGGGTGAAAGTTTTCCTCAACATGTCAAAGATCAACAACCAATTTTCTCTATGTAAGGCAGGAGGACCCTACTGCAAGAAATACATGTAAAATTCACCCTGCTTCAAGGAGTAAATGTAATTATTTTTATAGCCATGCTTGTGGCTTAGAATTTTCTTCCACTGACATCGATTAATGCTGACATCACAATGAAACAGTTATA